CCTCACTCCCAACTAGTCCCCTTTCCTTCCCCCTTCTCACACATTACAGTTCCTTGTTTATATAGTATTCAAAGACGTAAAACAGAGGAGGATGTTCTTGTGCTCTATACCTTATAAACATCGTTTTTGCTTTCATCTTAAGCCATTTAAAAGTATACAATAGCCATTAAGAAAAAAACTTAAACAGATGCAAAATGGAAGAGGTTAAATTAGAAATTTCCATACACGATGACGAACAAATAATAATTTAAAAAAATTTTGTTTTATTTATTTTGAGACAGAGTCTCGCTCTGTCACCCAGGCTGGAGTGCAATGGCAGGATCTCAGCTCACTGCAACCTCTGCCTCCCAGGGTCAAGCGATTCTCTTGCTTCAGCCTCAAGAGTAGCTGGGATTACAGGCGCCCGCCACCACACCTGGTTATTTTGTATTTTTAGTAGAGATAGGGTTTCGCCATGTTGGCCAGACTGGTCTCAAACTCCTGACCTCAGGTGATCTGCCTGCCTCGCCTTCCCAAAGTGCTGGGATTCAAAGCATGAGCCACCGCGCCCAGCCACAGGTAAGAATTAATAGAGAAAAGAGAACCAGTGGAATTCTCCCAAACCAAGTCACAAGTAAAACTAAAACACCACATACCAAGTCTGTGTCCACTGAACACAAATCTGCTTAATCCTCTCCCCATTTCACTTAAAGCTCTTATAATCCTAGAGGTTCATTTGTTTGACTTACATTTAATCAGGTTTCCCCAATAATAATTTTTGAAAGGAACTGTCTCTTAGAAAATTGAACACTTTCATTTTTTTAGTCCTCCATTTTGTTTGCTTCAAGATGTTATGGTAAAGCTGAGTGAGAAAGAGTTAGTGGCTCAAATCAAAGTGGTCTTTCTTCGAGCAAATTAAATGAGAATTTATCCCTATCTTATAAATGTAGCATCTTCACATATATATGCCATAAACTCTCTAAAATGGTATTATTTTGATGAGCAAATTGTGGCCAAATGTGATTGAGGATAATGAACTCCTTGGAAAGAATAGTGCTTACTTCATCAGAAGCCAAATACACACAGAGCATGGCTATTTCTTCTGCCGTTGCAAATCTTCCTGTCTTCTGTCTCTTCAGGAAATCATTCCGTGCCTGTGACCAGAGACCATATCAGACATCAGTCACGTGAGCAGCTGCATGTGCTCACCTGCATCTTCTCCAAAGAGTCAAAGGCAAGAGAATCCACTGGTTTGCTGCCTTGATGAATAATCAACTAGGGTTATGGTGAGTCTTTTCCCAAAGTTACTCAAATTATTTGTGTTATACTAAAACCCACAGATACTGTGACAGATCAGAAAGCTAACATTAAAGATGAGGGCATTATTTTTTTTCATGTTTGAAGGTTACGGTAAAGTATACATAACATAAAATTTACTATCTTAACCATTTTAAGTGTACAGTTCACTGGCATTAAGTACATTCACACTGTTGTGTCACGATCACCGTTGTCCATCTCCAGGACTCTTATTTTATTTTTATTAATTTTTTTTTCTTAGAGAGTCTTGCTTTGTTACCCAGTCTGGAGTGCAGTGCTGTGATCATAGCTCGCTGTTGTACCTCAAACTCCTGGGCTCAAGCACCCCAGCCTCAGCTTCCCAAGCAGAGCTCTTTTCATCTTGAAAAACAGAACCTCTCTGCTCACTAAGCATTAACTACTCCTTTCCCTCCTTCCAAGCCCCTGGTGACTACCATTTCACTTTCTGTCTCTATGAATTTGTCTGCTATAGGTATGGAAGAGGGCATTTATTAACCAAAGGTTTAAACACATTTTAAATGCTAGATATACCTCTTCAGGATTTCCTCTGGCTTGTATTCTTTCTTGTAGAGATGGGGTATCAACCGTTCCTAAATCAAAGGGGGATATTCAGCTTGGTTACTCGCTTAAACTGAAAAAGAAATTGATAACTAAAAACTTCCTTTCCATATGATAAAACAATCAGTGAGGTTCTTCTCCTTGACTTAAAATGGCAACTTCACATCTGCCTGCCTGAGGCCTCTTATTTAATAGACTTATAACTTCTTCAATAACATTTCTTTGATTTTAAAAACAGACTATGATTCTTTGTAGGGACTCTGGTGAATCACCCAGCATTCTCAAGGACATATATTTCAGTTTCAGTCACATTGCATTTATATAATGTTTTATGGATTTTAAATATTTTCATATATATATTATCTCAGTAATTCTCACAGTAACCCTTAGATGTAGATAAAATCATACAAGCACTTTGCCAGCTTAAGGATCCAGTTTGACTCAATGATCTCAAAACCATTCTCTGCTGTCAAGTTCACTGTAGGATCTTTGGGGACAATCCCATGGCTGCCATAGTCCTTGGTAATTCATGTGGCACTAAATTTTTCTCATCACCTTGCCTATTTTCATTGTTTCAAATTCCTACTTTTAACCACTGTTTCAAGTTTTTAATCAAAACTATAATTGAGTATATTCTAAATTTATTTTACTTTAAAAAAGAAAACACTAAAAATTTAAAATTCCACTTAGTTTTTGGTCTCCTAGAGCAAGTTCCCCAGACTTTTTTATTAACTCATATAAACTGTACATTCTCTTTAGAGGCCTTTTTTTCAGACTAAACAGTACTCTGGCAAATGATGTGATCCTTCCGAGGTTGCAACAAATGGTTTTACAGTTATACTTCATCCTTAGATCACGTTCCTGAGAGTGCAATGGATTTGATCTTTGCTCATAAAACATTTCTTAATTTTAGCATCATTTGCTATTTTTTCTCGTGAAGCTCAAAATCAGAAAGCCTAGCTCCTTTTTGGAACCCCCTGTTTACGTTATCTGTCTCTTGTCACCTTTTACTATAAGCAGGCAGCACTTTCAAGACTCTGGGTAGAAATCGCCTTAGCTACATCACCCAGTTCATCAGTAACATCTTCTACCTTCCTTCACACTACAGGCAACAGTGTTGATATATTTTCTGAAACTGTATGACAAAGATCCCCTTTTATCTAATTTTCAATAATATTTTCCTCACTTCCCTCAGGAGCCTCCTTAAAGTCCACAGTTTTATGACCAGTGTGCACCTCACGCTTTCACTAACAATCTCCTCGAAATCCTTACAGCTTTAACAGCTTTCTCCCTCTGAGGTAAATGAACATCATGTCTTCATTTGACTGGTACTAATGGCTATTAAATAAAAACTGTAGAGCAAGCCCATGCCTTTAGAGGACTCCAGTGTCACTGGGTTCAGCTGTGTCCATGGCACAGACATACTATGCCAGGGTCTACACAAGTCTAGCTGGAGATTTCTGACTATACAACCATCAGCACCATCCGAGACATACTCAGTCCTCCTCAAGTTTTCTTCTGTGATTGGTTTGCTGAGTCACAGCTAGTTCCTTGTTCCAAAGAGTTTGATAACATATTTTCCAATCTTCTGATAAGTCCAGTCGCTGACACAACCACATTTTCCAAATCATTTTACCATTCTTTCCACTGGGTAAATGGCACCAAGAATAGCTAGATTCAAGTATCACCAGGGTGTACCTCAAAACCCATTGAAATGACCTCTCATGTATTATTCTTTTCCTTAGTGTGATCTGTGTTTACATTTCTGTACCAACATTAAAATAAAACATCATCTCAATCACTGAAATTCTGTAGCTTGGGAGATGTTTAGTTTTCCCTCTTTGAGTCTGTGGGTTTCAAATGAAGATTCAATCAAAATCTCCTGTGAGACTTTCTAAACAACACAATTCTCTCTGTGAACTCCTTCCCTAAATTGTGGCATGCCCTTCAGGTGTGAAAGGTTCCCAGGTTGTATTGAAATGTTTCCCTTTCACACTCCCTGTCTCATATCAAGTGTACACAACTGAGGGAAATCTTGATCCTGGATATGCAATAGTTAATTTCTTTTTAAAGAACATTAATAATCCTTATTAGATACGCTATGTTCATTTTAGATTGGTAGAACCAGGTAAAAGTGGCTATCAATTTAATAAACACATCTACAGTTATTGAGAAAATGAGACATAGCCGCATTTATTAAGATAAGAAAGTTCTGCTTTTCTTCTTTCCCTTGTTTGAGGGATCAGCACACCTTTCTTGTTAAAGAGGCAGTAGCAAATATTTATGGCTTTGAGAGTCATTTTCTTTGTTGCCACTATTATACTAAACTCTGCCATTATAGCATGAAAACAGCTATAGGCAATACATAGGCAAATTGGCTGTGGAAGTGTTTCAATAAAACTTTGCTTACAAAACAGATGATGACCCAGATGTGTCCCATAGGCTGTGGTTTGCTGGCCCTCTTTCTATAGCATAAAGGAAGGTTAATGCCTCCTTTTTATTTATAGGCCACCCCAGTGGTTCAAGTGATTTTAGTGGATCCTTGTGTTTTGGGAGGCTCCCCTTACTTTTTCCTGCTGTCCTTTGAGCATGGTCTGTTTTCTTTTCTTTCTTTCTTTTTTGTTTTTTTTTTTTGAGATGACATCTCACTCTGTTGCCAGGCTGGAGTGCAGTGGCACGATTTCGGCTCACTGCAACCTCCAACTCCCTGGTTCAAGCAGTTCTCCTGCTTCAGCCTCCCGAGTAGCTGGGACTACAGGCATGCACCACCATGTCCAGCCACAGTATCTTTAGTGGAGATGGGGTTTCATGTTGGCCAGAATGGTCTCGATCTCTTGACCTAGTGATCCACCTGCCTCCGCCTCCCAAAGTGTTGGCACTGAAGGCGTGAGCCACTGTACCCGACCGAGCATGGTCTATTTTCATCTTTCCCTTGATATCTTTACCCTGCAAAGGTCAACTCTGGTCTGCTTCCCAACAGCAAGTCGGGCCAACTATGTCTCTTAGCTACTTGATTCTGAATTGTCCAACACATGAGTAGCATGTAAGCCTTTTGCAGCTGTGGCTTGTTCCCAATGACTTAGGATCTCCTTCTCAACTTACAACTCTACTGTTATCTTAATAAGCCCAGCCTCAACTCCCTTTTTTTGAACTTTTCCTCAGAGTACAATATAACATATAGTAAACAAACTTTTGTAGATATCTTTCATGGTGGCAAACAGTGTCAGAAACGCCAAGTTCCCAGCCCTGCAGTGCCTTACTCACCGGGGCACACACAGTTGCACCTGATGCCCTGCTGGATGAAGTCTGCAGCCACAGACTTTGTGAGGCCGATCACAGCTGCCTTGGTTGTGCTGTACACACATCTGTTCACAACTCCTGAGGGTGGAGGAAAGGTTCAACAATTGAAAAAATAAAAAATATATTTTCCTTTAGAGAGGTAACACAAATAAGTTTTCCCATTAGCCATTTTCATGCTTTCTCCCACATTCCTCCTTTTTAAAAAAATTGGTATCAGATTTTTTCCTTTAATAGAGTCAGTTTCTGGATCTAGGGAAATAATATCAGTATAGGGACAACTTAATTGAGACTTAATTCAAATGCTGCACTTATTTAACATTGGGACCAGTTTTAGTTTCTCATCATCAGTTGCTATAACTCTTAGGCAGATTCCAAAAGAAAATAAAGATTAAGAACAAAGCAAAATAATTAAACAGGAGGCCTAGGCACTTCTTTACACTCCTGTCTTGTGTATGCTTACTACGTGTATCCTTGCAAAGAGAAGAAATGTTATCTCAGCAGTAACTATTTCATTTTAAACTCACAGATCCAACTCTGCCAGATTATGACACAATCCACATTTTGCACTGCTGTCCTTGTCCTTCAACTTGACTTCTTGCTGATGGCTCAGATCAGCTGTCTATGTGAAGCATTCCACACACTCACAGCAGTTATTTCCCTGTATTGTGACAGTGTTTTGTTCAAACCTCTATCATATATCATCACACTGGGGAAGATGATGTTTGCTGCCTTGCTCTTGGTTTTGGACTGTGAATTCTTTTGGGGGCAGAGCACATACTGGTGCTCAGTATACCATTTTAAATGAATTAAATGTTAAATGGTTCCTTCTCGCAGTCTGATATTCATTTCCAAATCTATTAGAAAGAATAAAAGGAAAGGAAAAAAA